CCTCGCTATTCTTACATGTATCTATTGCGGGTTTTGAAAGGCCCGGTAAAACAGCACTACACGTGCTTTCGGCCGCCATATTGAAATTAAGTTTGGCACACAAATGATTCGTAGCCTACAATGTGTAACTACGTTACAGATCAATATATATGCCGCATAAAAGATTGCAACTCCGTTGCAAAAATGTTTCCAACTTAAGCAAACAAACTACGTTTGTTTTAGATTATAATTCTGATAGAAATAGATCGCATCTATTTTCAGGCTGACTACCCAGCCGCATGTCACAAGCTAACTGAGTACGCATGCGCAAGCATATCTCATTTAAGACTGACCGATATTTTTATACGAAATAGAATGTATTCTTTCAAAGGCTGTTAAGCCATATATTTTAATTAATCAGTTTCTTAAACGCAAAATTATTTCCTTAACGAATTGCATTTAACTTAGTCCTCTCTTTATATCTTTAAATAAATACCATACAACTCACCTTTATGAACAATGTTTGATGTTGAATTTGTTCCCAATGACACCGATTTTTTCTTGGTTTTTATTGCCTTTAAATTCTCCTCTTTATCTTTCATGCTGTTTACCTAAAAAATTCACATGTGCAAGTAGATTGCATACTATGAAAAAAGTGAAGGTTAAAATATTTTGGCAAATCGGATGTTGGGATGAAATAGTTTTTTGTTTTTTTTTTATATACAATTCGTAAAAAATTATTAAATCACTTTTGTTTTTGTTCTCTGAACAGTTCTGTCTGGCTTCGGTGGAGGCTGAAATCTTTCCACACTCTTTAATGCTGAAAAAAAAGACAAATTGTATTAAATAATGATATGGAATTGTAGAGAAATACCCAGTCCATGCCATGGGATATGCCAAGTTCTGGTTATAATTTTTAATAAACTAAACGAAATAGTTTAAGCTCAAGAATTCTTCAACAAATGGTAAACAAACCAAATCAAACTATTTTAACAGGTCTGAATTTAAATAATATATTATTTTACATGTGTTTCCATTTTACCTCTTCCACTCTTTCTTCTGTCTAACTCTGGTGTCCACTCTTCATCGCTGCCAGAACTCTCATCTTTCACCTTTTTCTTCTGAGCTGGTTTCTTCTTTGGCTTCATGAACTGAGGCTTAGCAATTGGGAGACCTACAAATAAAAAATAAAGACCAACATATATTAACTAAATATATTATATATAACTAAATATAAAAACTAGTGAATTATAATTCTATATTCAATTTTTCATAGTAAATTGTTTTAGAAACTTCATAACTTACATAGAAAGTTACACTTTTTATTTATGTTATAATGTACTTAATTGTTTTCATCAAATGTTTGGTTAGTATTCATACTGAAAATTTTAATCTCTGATTTTAGAATATTTAAAATGAACATGGAAAAAAAATTTAAAAAAACAGAAAATAACCTAAATCTTTTAAGACTTGATAATTTCTTTTGATATTTCTTAGTCTGAGTTTTTCATAATCTGACAGCTTGGCAAGCTCGGAAGCTGTGAAATATGCTTCAATGTTGACTTCGTCTGGGTCCGTCATGTCCATCTTGCTAAAATCCATCTGCTCCACGTTTGGAAGTTTGGGGATTTCAAACTAGAAATGATACAGAATTTGAGAACAAATGCCATTTTTACAAACAAAGCGTTTCATGACGTAAAAAATTTTTTAAAAAGAAAAGAAATAGCTGCTGCTTTGAAACTGAAGTGCTGTGAGGATCGTACTTTTTTCAAAAAATAAATGATAAAAAAATAAAGAACGTTATTTTGGGCAGTAACGATTATTAAAATCAGACCTAAGATTGTTTTCATTATACTTTAAAAGAAACTGTTCCAAAATTTTGGTCAATTCACCATATTTTGTAGACAGATGAACGGATGGAAAAAAAAAAGAAACAATCTCTTCCCGCCCCTGCGGAAATATCAAATTCTTCCATACGTAAAATTGTACAACGTCATTATTAACAAGTTAAAAGTGATCTTATGCAACTTCTATCTACCTTTGAGGCCATGTTCTCACACAGAATGTGGAAGAAAATCAGTAAAGTTCTTCGGGGTCAACTTTCCTTCCGACTACTGAAAATGTCGTCTGCGCGGCATGTTGAAACCGAGGCCGCCTCAGCCCAACACAATCAGTTGCTTTCAGTTGCATCTTCTCTAACACATTGTCGTCTTTTTCCTTGTTTCGTCACCGATGAGGTGTTTGACTAAAGTTGATGTTTGGCAAAGGCTTCTGTTTTAAATGGAATTTCTAAAATTTTACTGTAATGTGAGCGGACAATTTCATTTAATCTTATTTAATTCCATTTTGATTTAATTAATTTATTTACTTCTATAGAATTTTATACGGTGGAAGTGGAGAAAAGGTCAGTTTCGGGAAGGGGGGCTCTTTATTCCCCCTGAATCCATGTTTGTTATGTAGTTTGTTACTGCTTGTGTTGTGTGGATTTTTAAAAACTCGCTTGTAAATATTGAAATTTACCTCAAGTCTATCTAATATGACACTAGAAATTTATTTAGGGTTATCTTTCCCCATCAGACTGGGTTTCATATTCAATTCAACTCTGCCTTAAGCCATTTCATGTAATTAAATTAAAAACTTAGGCGCATTAGGCGTTAACATGTGCATACTTACATTGAAGGTGTTTCGGCTCAGCTATCTCTCACAAGTATGGCGGCACTCACACTCACATACGCTTTTCTCGTTGTTTTGGCGGTACAAAATGCATCAGGGTATTTTTGGGGGATGTATCCTAACGTCCCAGGAGGGAGACGCATGGTCTGGCACCCTGTCGACACCATGTTAAATCTCATGCCACAAAAGGTAAGACGAAAACCCTGGCAAAAGAGACGCGCACATAAAGTGTCGTGTTGAGACCGTCGTATATGGATCATTCTACCAAAAAAGTGAACATTCGTGTCGGGTCATTGACGCACACATCTTGTGGTATGTTTCACAACTGTTTTAAGTCATTTTAATCACTGCTGGTTTGATGCCATATTGGAGAGTATAGAATAATCAATATAATAATATTATAATAAGAATAGAAGTCAATATTATGCAAATAATACACAAAATTTGTGCGTCATTGATCTGACTCACTTTTGCTTTTTTCTGGGATCTCTAAGGCCTAATTTTGATTTGAGGGAAGAAAGTCCTTAATCAATTGCTCTTTTTGCTGTACGCGGTTCGGTAATGATATAAACACAGATGGATTTTAGTTTTATGGAAGAAAAAAGTAGACGGACTATGGACGACTTGATGGAAAAGTCGAGAGGAATATTTATTCTTTTATTTAATCTTAAGAATTCATGATCAGTCAATGTATAGAGGCGCAAAATGGCAACGCTGAAGAAAGATGCAACCTAGAAAAAAATCTTAAGAATGAAAACAATTTAGTGTTCAAACTTGATTTATGAATACATACTAATTTTTTTTTTTTTTTTTTTTTTTTTTTTTTTTTTTTTTGCAAATTGAAAATAAACAAAATATGGATGGATAGCACATTTATTCTGCATTTAATCAATCAGTTATTTATTAATTGATTTATAATAAGATGATTGATCAGAAAAAGAAGTCATAAATGGCTTTATTTTAGAAAAATATCAAATCGGTGGAATCCAGAAAATTTCATGATGGACCAATAAATCTATTTTGTTCCCTTTTATTTCCAGATACATGTGCAAGGTCTTTGGTACAGTATCATTTGGCTGTCTTATCATCAGGTTTCTCAAGACGCACTAAGGTGGGAAGGAAGAAAAATAGTGCTATTTGTGATTTTGTTCAACCCGCGCAACATGAAAACATGAATGCATGGAATAAAAACATGCATTTCATGTTTCGGAAAACTTATATATATATATATATATATATATATATATATATATATATATAAATAAAGAAAATAATTTTAAAAAACTAATTATTTATTTGCAACAACAGTATTTTCTTTATTTCAGCTTTGTTAAGGATTGAAATTTATCACTCATAGCTATAACCAAAAATCATCAACATTGAAAAAACATGAAAAAAAATTAACAATTTGTTCAATGCAGCTGATACACACAACAATATTATGACTAGGGTTTAATATCTTACACATAATGTGGAATGGATGTCTGTATTTCATGTCAAAGAAGGTTCATCACCAGGTAAACGAGCGGTATGTGTTTATGTTTATAAGGCATGACTCGTTTACTTGTTGACGGATTAACCCTGCATTACGTAAATGCCTGGTAAATGATGTACCTACATTGTGCTGGTTGTGCAAGCACATTGCGGCACATCTAACGCAATCAATCGTAGTTTATGTATTTGTATATTTAATTTTTGCAGTTAGGTCTCTTCTGTTATTGATTACGTTAGAAGTTTGTTGTCATTGTATTTCCATTGCTTTTCATCTTAATCAATACTGAGACTGAAAATGAATTCAATCGTCGTCAATATTTAGGTTTATTTGAAAAAAAAAAGTTAAAATGAAGTTCGAGATACATGTATATTCGCAAATTTTACTTAAAGTGATAATAACTCTTCGTTTCGGCCAAAAAATGAATTTTCCTGGAGCAAACAACAATTTTCCCATACTTACCAATGGTTAATGAATCCATTTTTACATTCAAAGTTAGTCCCTGGTTTTTTTCTAAAAAGTTTGGTTTTTTGTTAAAATCTCTTAAGAGATTTTAACAGAGTATAGCCATCAATGGAGGTCACGTGGTCTAAAGACAAGCTCATATATCAGAATAATAGCTATAACAGCCGTTTTTGTGGGAAAACAGAATATATTATATTTTTATGAGTCACTCACAATGTTTTTATTGTGAAATACAGATTTCATACGAAGAGTTATTATCCCTTTAATCTAAGGCTATGTTTACGTAAAGTGAAAAAAATAGGTTTTTGGTGTGAATCATGTGGAATTTTAAATGTCTGGCCTTGCTAGTGGAAATTTTGTATGAAGTAAAAAAAAGTTTCAGCCATTTCAGTAATGAAAGTTGAAAAAAACAACCCTTTTGGATAGTATTCGCACACTTTTAATACTAGCAAAAATTAAACTCCACTAAAGGGGTACGCATTTATTTTACTGACATATGTACATTTGCCATCAACCTCAATTTTTTTGGTTTTTGTTTTGTTTTGTTTTGTTTTGTTTTTTTTTTCAATGCCTAGTAACGAAGGTTTTGCAAATTACTTTCTGAGAGAATGCAGTTTTGCCGTGTTTCCTGTAAAACTTGAACTGTGCCCTGCCTTATCATGAATGTAACTCAATTTAAGATTAATATTTTATTAATGGATAAAATGTTTTTAAAAATAAAACAACTTAAAACGAAGACCTGCGCCAAAAGATAAAAAGTTTTTTTTTAACTTGGCGACACCGCGAAATTAGACGCAATCTCTTTTTTGAGTTATCCTGCAGTGCTGGTATTATATAGGTATTGCAAGCCGGCAAGGGCTTCTCGAGGAATCTGAGAAAATAATAGCAACACAAGTTACGCTTTAAATTAACTTTTATTTTAATGGTTTAAATGTCTTTAGTGACTGAATTGGTAAATATTTCATAACTCGGAAATATTAACTGGACATCATTATCTTAACTCAGACTATTAGGTCATAATTTTATTAGTTCAATTCATCTTACTTTGTTTTTAGTTTGTAAAGTCTACAGAACATATTTTATGGATTTTAGACTTTAAATAAATAAATAAATATATTATTATTATTATTATTATTATTATTATTATTATTATTATTATTATTATGAGAAGCTTCACAGGACATGAATGTGATTTTTAGAGGGATTTCAAACGCGGAGAGAACCTCTATAAACGTAATTTTGGCGGGAAAACCCCATGAAAAGGTCATTGAGAGATAGTGATCACATTTCACGGGGAATAAAATTATTAAATCACATATCACAGTTTATTCATATCTCTCTGATAATGCGCGTAGAAAATCCTGAAATTACATAAATTATACGTGTTTAAAGGGATAATAACTCTTCGTATGAGATCTATAATTCACAATAAAAACATTGTGAATAACTCATAGAAATATAATATATTCTGTTTTACCAAAAAAAAAACGGCAGTTATAGCTATTTTTTCTGATACCTGAGCTTGTCTTTAGACCACGTGATCTCCATTGATGGCTATACTCTGTTAAAATCTCTTAAGAGATTTTAACAAAAAACCAAACCAAAAG